CCACGCGCCCGAACACGCGGTTACTTACGAACATCGAAAATGGATTAAGTCGCTCATTCCGCCGCGGAGGTATTCGAAAAACCCTAATGACACCATGAGGTTTATCTGGAATACCAGAGGAAGATACTGCAGGATAATGTGAGGGTTTCCTGCATCGAGACCATCGGGAGTCATTCCCTCCGCCGCAAAAGAGCTATCGGTTAATGAGCCTAACTATTCAGCCGATGCAACGTCGAATTTTTGTTCGCAGCCCATTCGTTGTGGTGCACGCGGGATCGCTCCGAGCCGTTTTTCGGAGGGTTAACAATTTCTACCTCTAGCATCTCGCTGTGACCCCTCGTCTCGGTGAGCCCTCCCCTTTCGCCTATTGCAGGTCCCGCCGAATTTAACCCACCTTGCAGAGCGAACATTGAATCGATGCAGGGTTTTTTTGGAAGAACACGTCGCCCCGAATGAGAGTTCATGACGTGATAATGGCTATAGTCATTCGGTAGAGCGGGCTCATTCGCCACCTTTTTTGTTCCCCGCGTACTCCAGGCTCGCGTACTCGATTGGGGAAGACTGGTGCTGCGCTTGACGAGGACCGGAAAAAAACTTCGGTGATCTCCCCTCGGGACCAGGCCTCGGGTCCCAGACATCAAGACGCCGTGTGGAGCAGAGCTCACGTCCCCGTCCGCAAGCCTAAGAGCGCACACCGCTCCATGATTTCCCGCGGATTGAATTTTCCACGACAAGCCTGATGGCAGCTGTCGAGGCGTGAGGAAATTCAGGTGATGATGCTGTGTTTACACCGCAAGCTCGAACTCGCGGTCCTCGAGAACTCCGTGTGTAACAATTTGTCTCCAAGTGACTCGAACAAACGCGACAGAGTCAATATCATCTGCTCGAAGTGAACACCAAATGAAGCAGCACCTGCGCGGGAGTGAGAAAGGAGAGTAGGAGAATGAGAGTGGGAGAGAGCGATCGATCTCCTGGTCCTCTTGGTGAAACCAGTCGACTTGGGAGGAGTTGGCGTTCTAGCCCAGAGGACTCTCGCTTTTCAGCATCCAGCCCATCTCCTCTCACCACAGTAATTGTTGGTCTCGTCAACGAATGAGCCTCTCCGAATTCCCGTCGCCGATGCATCAGATACAGGAGTCTTCGTAAATTCCAGTTCACCCAGAACGGGGCTAAGAAACGAAAATTTCCAAGATTTTATCCAACCACGATGCGGTCGCCGACTGCAGAACGCAGGCGGATCATGTCAGGAATCAAGTACGAGAAAAAAGCAAAACTCCAATTTGATGACTAGCCGAGTTTGTTGATGCGCGCCGGCCCCAACGAATTAGTCCTACGGTCGTCGGACTTTTGGCTGTCGGACGCGAGTGGCCCAGACCTCAAATCTGAAACTGCCAACGCGTTGTGTGGGAGAGTTTGTGTGAGTATCCGAGTGTTAGTGTTGAACTCTCGGTCGCACACTCGGACACTTTGGACACGCTTAGACGAGTCCTCAGCGTGGCGTGACCAAGCAACGTGCCCCTACATTTTAATATTGTTATTACTGATTCTAAATCTCGGAACCCACAGGCGAAGCCCCCACCATACGGCCTGGATGTTCGTCTGACGCGAGCCCTACGAGAAAACATTGCCGCCGCCGATGGTGTCGCTGTTCGCATACCGGACGTTCGGCGTTCTATTAAACAAATTAAAATCCTCTCACAAACTACCGGAACGACCCTACCAGATCGTCCGAGAGTTCATGAGCGAATGCAGGACACCCTCGATGCGAGGAACGGAAAAAATCGTTCGGAACGACCTTCAGTGAATTTCGTACGGGAATTCACTTCTGTCTCCGTTCGGACCGAGATCGAAAAGACTTTGGGTCGAGATGCACAAGGAAAGTTTCGAGGTATGCACCTCCAGTCAGTGTGTCAGTGTGCCGGTTTGTCACTGGACCCACTCGAAGCACTTCAGAGCAGAGGATATGAGTTAATGAGCGACTGAGCGAGCGGAGCTGCTGTTGATGTTGCTGGCACCGGCAAAAAGCTTGTATCGGAGTCGTCCCTCACGAAAGGCAGTAAAACAACATTGGCAGGGAGAGAGAGTGTGCATGACTGGACCGACTGACGGACGGGTAGATACTCGGGCGGACGAAGCGAGAAACGTACCAGCATTGGAACAGTCGCTGTCAGTGATGTGTGGGAGTTGGGAAGTCATGATCTATTTGTTCAAGTCTCTGATGGGGTCAGCTGCTCGACCGGAGGGCCGGTCAGTCAGTCAGTCAGCAGGTAGACGGGCAGAATTCGCTACGGCAGTAATGAGTCGGCCTCTCGAGACCGCTCGTCGTCGTTGTTGCTACGACGGTGCCTGGTGGACAAAGACGACGACGACATTAACGATGTCCTCGATGCTGAGTGGTTGCAATGGTTCTCCTGAGATCCTTCCGGTCCATCGGTCAGTTCCCCGATTACCTGCTAAGAGCTGTATGGCGGACATTTAGTAATTGATCCGTCATATGGCTGGACATCGAGGGGATCATCATGATCTCAACAGATCCCTGATCCGCGAGGCCGGTGGAGTCCTTGAGCTCGAAAGTATCGCAGGCGCTGGAGTCGCGATGGCTTTTTTTCGGGGCTTGTTAGACGACGCCAACGGGAGGGCAATCGACAAATTTTGTTAGCACAAAGATGTTCATACGATCAAGTCGGTCGGCCGGCCATGAGCCGCTTGCTCGCTGAGCGCGTCAATTTCGGCACGTGTGTGTAAGTGCTTGAGAGCAAGTTGCTCCCGCCCGCTTGCCTGCCTTTTACCTGCTCGCTAGCTTGGGTAGGCTCTACGAACGACTACATATTGTTGAATCGCTACAGCTCGGGATAAATGTGGGCTTGGAAAGCAGGGGAGCTGAGGAGGGGCTGGCAACCGCCGGGTACACGGCCGGATTTGAGTCTTGAAAAAGGGGGACGAGTACAAGCCGGGAGTACAACAAGTTATTTGAATGGTAATTGAATTATGACGAGTCAGGTGGGAAGTATCTTCTCTCCTCCGCCGCCATTGGTATTCGTATGCTCGCCTGCCTTGTGGCTGGGCCCACTGCTCGATCGAGGAGACTGTTGCCTTTTCCTTCAGCTCCTTGTCGTTCACGTTTAGGCTGCTCTTGATGTTGTTGTTGTAGGCTTGTTGCTGCACACGTCATGGCCCCTCTTCGCTGTTGCTGCCGGTGTGAGGACAAGTTTACGACCAAATCCAGGCAATGAACCGACTGTGGAGTTGCAACTCACTCGCGAGCTCGTCTCATGGAGGATTCAAGCAGAGTATCGTCCTAATTTGTTCGAGGAGATCAATCGCTCTCTAGCCGATGGGACTCGAACACTCAGAGCTTCCTATTCTCTTGATGCGTCCGAATAGAATCGTTCCCAACCAGTCATCGAATTTTGGTGTGTCCTCGACGCTCGAGCCCCTGGAAAAACTCTCTGTCGCTGCTCGGGGACGCTCCCGGCCGAACAGGGACTTCATGTTTCGCCCCGGCTCCGGGGAGATCGAAGGGTCGAGGTAGGGCCATCACGGAGTAGATTCGATGAAGGGAAACGTACGCTTTCGTCTTACGGATCTTCTCTTTTTTGCTCCGTTCCTGATAAATGACGACTCTCATTCTCTCACAATGGCCTGACTCAGCTTTTGACTCCCGTGAGCGAGCTCTAGTCGGGGCGAGCAGGTTCCTCGCAAGTGAGCAAAACGCGGCAAGCAAAAACATTTCCTACGCTCAGAGCGCGAGCGACCACGATGGAGAGAGCCAGCTCGCTCATTCGGTCGGTCGGTCGAGAGAGGAACGATAGAGCGGGAGTGGGGAACATCGAGAGACCACCGCTCCACCTTCTCTTCACAATCGAGTTAGTGACTTCAGGAAAATCTCCCGGGGTACGAGCCAACGGATGAAAATCTAAGGGAGGAGTGAGTCGAGCCACTCACTCGACCAGCGAGCTCTCGAGGAAGGTAGCCTCGGGAAGCGGGCTGTCTGCCACCCAGCACTAGTCAGTCAGTCAGTCATTCATTCATTCGAGAGAGCATATTGAGGTTGTTGCTCTTTTTGGCGACGGGGCAGGGTGAGGCTCTCCGAGAGACACTCATTGGATTTAATTGATCGAACACTTGATTGATTGCCGGATAGCTCATTCATTCTTCCAAGATGCTCCAACACCGAGCTTATCCATCGACGGCCGTCCAAAGTTTTCCGAGGCGGTCAGCGAGAAATTTCCGGCACTCAGATCATGGGGAGAGAATCAATTGACATTCGAACGGCGAGATATTTCCTCCTTCAAGACGGTTCCGCTCAAAGTCCGAAATCTTCTCCGAACACTAAACAGAAACTCGAAAATCTGAGGCGAAGCAAACCTCGGAGTCGGAGCGAAATCCGAGAAGCAGCTGTTCCGCTATCTATCTACTAAGAGCAGAGTTCGTGAGGGCGATTCAGTCGAGGCGTTATTGACCCGAAATTTCGTGGCACGAAAGGTTGCGTCATATAGACTAATTTGGAGCCGAACGATAGACTTGAGTTCTTGTGCCGATGGCGATAGTGGCGCGGCTCGTGGCTCGACAGTGTTCCAATCCATCGAATGCGCGCCCCGATCACTCGTTCCATCAAGACTCAGAGATTCCACGACCCGACCAGGTCCTCCCGGGCATAGGTATTTGTTCCCAGATGTCAAAAAACATTCTAATCCCAGAGTGAATCAGAGAGAATTGTCGGACGCCGATGTCTAATAAGCTATTGAGGATCTGGGATGTTCTTTGAGGGAAATATATCCAGATCCTCGGATGTGCTTCGGAAATAGGAGGAGGAATCGCGATTTTCGAGCGGGGAAAGTTCCTGCTACCGAAAATCGATCGTGGATTGTGGCCGAGTATTTCTCGATCGATTCGTACATATTCGAGTCGTCTAAGGATCGGGCGGTGGATCGTCAAGGCTCTCTTAGACCATCAGAATGTATCTGATGAAATGTTTGAATGTTTTTGTTCCTTTTCAGACTCCACCCAGTCACCAGCCGAAAAGCGAGTTCATGGTGAAGACCGAAGCCTCTCCCGATGCTCAATCCACCTGGACATCTAAGAAGCTCTTCATGGAAGAGGTGAGTCTCGCTTACCTTGACCGCAACATCTAGCTCGAGAGAGCTTGGATTCGACGGGGAGCCGTGAACTAAAATAATGATCCGCTCTCCGTCTTTACGGGATGGCCTGAAGGCGTGCAGCGCCTACAACATGCGCAAGCGTACCGGATTGCCAGCCTGATCTCGGCCTAGATCCGGGTCTACCCCGAACCGATTTCTTGGTGTGCCAACAAGTGAAATTGCGGTCGGATAGCTCTTCGTTCTGACTCTCGCGAGCTCACCCGCTTTCGATGCGATTATGGGCAGGGCTCCCGAGCATGAATGATATTAAAGCATTTCCCTCCGCCAGGATGACGCTGAAGCGCAAAGTCGGAGATGGCGATGTATTGCGGCAGCTCCTCGATTTCATTATGATGTTTCTGGAGGCGCAGATTCTACCGAACCCGACCGTTATCGGATGCAGAACTTGGTGAATGTACGTCCGCTCTGCTTTTTCCCAGATATGAACAATCTCACGCACTCGGTGATGGGAGCCCGCGATCAACCGAGTTTTGTATTTTTCAGAGTAATTTTTTCCCTTCGTTGGATGAAGCAGGATTGATGGGTCGAGCCGAAGCCCTCGTGGAGATAGGCAGGCACCCGGGAGGGGCTCATGGAATCAAGCACCCCGACATGGGAAGCATGTCAATGTACCACCACGCAATGGGATCCACGACGCAATCACCTCACAACACTGCGAGGTATCTTCAGAGAATCAGAGAATTATAGAACGACCAGTAATTTCCTCCGGTGATGCCCGAGTCGTAGAACCTAGATGGAGCTCGTCTTTGCGGAGATCGAACCCTTAAGAGACGATTGTCGACAGGTCACAAATGTCCCAGATGGATTTAGGCCACGATCTGATCGACCCGCTGTGTCCTTCGAATCTTCCTCCTTTAGGGATGACCGCTACTTCGAATACGGATCAATTCCATCATTACCCAATGAACGGTGAGTTCCACAGTTGCATGCCTACGGCGAGCCCATACGACCGATCGATGCGGTTCGAAAAAAGAATCCCGGTATGTGCGAGGGCAACGACGATTTTTGAGGCGAGCGATGGCTCTTGAGTTTAAAATGGAACTCATTCCATGAACAAAAAAAGTCGCGACGGAACACTTTCGAGTTATCTGGGTAGAGACCGGATCGGGTCGCGAGTCGGTACGAAACTATTCGCAAAAGAGTAGCCGAGCTGACGATGAAGTGCATCGATAGCTCAGCGTTAGAGCTCTGTTTCGATGGTCTTGACGTGAGCCGTGCACCGGTTCCGGTGGATACACGTCGCCGCTGAGCGATTGTTGATGGAGCTCATCCGTCTTTGTAATGGATGTAACTGCGTTGACCAACTCCGCAGCTTCTGCGGCGATCTTTCTTTTTTTTCGTTCCGGAGTCACGACGAAGCGGACACCCAATCCCGTCTTTTGCGGCTACGGATGCTTCCCGTGACGGACGTTTAATCACTCTGCGATACGAAACTCCGCTGCCCCGCCCCGTCGGCGTGCAAGGCCCTCCGTGGTCTGGATTTGAGCAGTGTTACAGCTTCAATGTCTCGGAAAGTCCTTACAGAGAATCAATGATTCCAGGTAACATGATACACCATCATCAGATGGCTGCCGGACCGGCTAGTTCAGTGATCGACCCAACAGGAGGGGTCGATACCGACCCGAGAGAACTGGAGGCGTTTGCCGAAAGGTTCAAGCAGAGAAGGATTAAGCTTGGTGAGTGTCGGTCGGAGACTCGAAAAGAGTTTCCGGTCGTTCTCACGAACTCGCCGAAGAACGAGAGAAGGGGACAACCCGAGGGAGAATTTCGGGATTCGGAGCATCACACCATGCAGGGAATGAATCTCAATCTTGATTTTGATATTCGCAGGCGTCACCCAAGCGGACGTAGGACGCGCACTGGCCAACCTGCGCCTTCCTGGCGTGGGCTCACTTTCACAAAGCACGATTTGCCGCTTCGAGTCGCTCACCCTTTCACACAACAACATGGTCGCCTTGAAGCCTATATTGGCGGCCTGGTTGGAGGCCGCGGAAGCGCAGGCCAAGTGTAAGAGGTGAGGACCACTCAGCTCGCTGACAGTTTTCAAATCACTGAATCATAGACGGGGAGCTCAGAACCGTCGATGCCCCCGCTTTCCACTGGGAAACGACTCCTCGGCTCGATCCTGATAACTCACTATAGGAGTAGCCGTACGGGTTCTTCGGCAGATCTTCTCCCTGAAGAATCCATGATGTTGTGGAGCTTTGGAGCCCGGGATGGATCGATTAATCGTCGATGTGAATTTTCAGGCGTGACCCCGACATGCCGGGCGTGCTTCCGGCCGGCGAGAAGAAGCGTAAGCGGACGTCGATCGCAGCACCGGAAAAACGATCGCTCGAAGCGTTCTTCGCTTTGCAACCTAGACCTTCGGGCGAACGAATTGCTGATATTGCTTCAAAACTCGATCTCAAGAAAAACGTCGTGCGCGTCTGGTTCTGCAATCAGAGACGAAAACAGAAACGTATGAAGTACTCTGCAAGTAATGCCATCGTCGCGCAATCTCAGTTGAACAACGCGAACAATCCGAATCTGTAGCCGGTAATCGTCTCAACAAGAACAACAAGCTGTCCGAAGCAAGCGTTTCATCAAGCGGTTTTTCCGTTTTTCTAAAACCTGGCGCTGGTTCCCGCTGTTCCACAGAAGTTGCTCCAACTCCACTTCGTCAAAATGCAATGAGTGACGACAGCATACACCCTCACTTGTACACGGAAGAGAGACAGAGAGAAATTCCCAAAGCAAGTTATCGGCAAGCGGAACACAAGCAAATTCCGAGAGCGACGAAATCTTTCAAAGCATCTCGAGCAATTACGAAAATCGATGAAAACTTGAGCCACACCGAAATATTATTGGACGATTATTTGCATAGGTCACTGAATTCGAATCGGTTCGATCGAACTTGCTAGAGCAGCGACAACATGAATAGGAGTCATTGATTTAAGAAAAGAGCAGTTCGTCACGGAACCGTCGAAGAGAACAAGCGACGAAACCAATAGGAATTCCAGCAGACATAAACAATGGCCGAAGAACAATTTAGTGGATGCTTTAAGGAGTTCCATAGAGATTTTCCCACGCATCGGATGAAGTTGGTGTATTTGTTGAGACGGGCTCCTTGTTCTGATTCAGGAACTTGGGAACCTCTTTCGCCAGCTAGATAATTAATCACGTCCATCGTCAATCATATCAACCGGTGACATCCGTCATCTATCGATGACGACGACCATGGCAGGGGGTCCGATCTCTTGTAGGACGAGGAGAACCTGAAGCATTGTTTTCGCATCATTGAAGCGAGGAACGCTCGATGGCGTACCGCTGCTGAAGTGACTGAGTGTCCTATAAGTTGTGCTATGGAAGTTCCTCGATTTGTGAATAAGTGCGTTCGAAAGAGAAAGGGAAAACTATTGATGGAAAACCTGAAACAACATCAACCATTGGGAAAAGAGGAGAGGGAGAGCGTAGGAGAATATCCAGAGCATTTGATGAGAAGGGACAGAAGAAGATGGACCGATTCTGTTCTGCCGACTAGTGATACGACATTATTATTATCATCATTATTTCGAATATTGTAGGAGGGCGATGATGACGCGGGAAGGAATCATAGAACTCGAATCCCAACATTATAAATATAGCGGGCAGGTCCAAGCTCGGGTCCGAGAAAGAGTGGGCGCGGACTTTTCATCATTGCTCGGGCGTAGCCATGGAGCTCGTTTTCTGTATGTAGCTGGACGAGAAGCTTTAATTCCTGCGAGTGTTCAGCACGGTGACCTCAAACAAACCGATCGAGACGGGAAATTCCTTCGGATTTCCGCGAACGAACCTGCGATGAGTATATTTTGGGAGCGCGGCTCTAGGAGTTGAGCACTCGCGGATATATTTGTGCAATTTTGTGATAGGTACCCCAAAGTGCGCCCTCAATGTTGTGGGTGTGGATTCCAACCTGGCCCTCATACCCCAAAACAGTGGAGTCTCGTCAGAGGGACCCGAGACACCCAATCGTCTGAGAACAACTCCGATTACTTCCGATTGATCTGTTTCCGACTCTCTCCATAGTCCTCGAACCGAAAGGCAAAATATTTTCAATCTGCCCCTGCGCCCCAATCGCTCCGCGTGGTTTTCAACCATGATCCCAAAGCTTCTACGTCATAGCCATTTTCAAAAATTGGATCCCGCCCGGTATCAAGACCTCTTTCTGAATGCGATGCCGCTACGGCGTTTTTAGGTAGCAAAGGTGATTTTTCTTTGAATCCATGAGGAGTTCCGTTTTCGGAGGAAACACTGCGAGAGCAATTCAGGGTTCGACCCAATGGAAAGTGTTAGCAACGACGCAAACAATTAGTCTTCGGTTCACGCCTGCGTTCCTACGGTGATCTATCTAGTCATCTTCGGTTTGCCGTTGTTGTAGTCGAACCGTCTAGTCCAATCGATCAAGTTATCCCTGTAGATGTTGAAAGGATTGAGGAATTCTCTATAATTCATTTTTGCGGAGTGATCTGACGAAGAAATAACGTTCTACAATCATTTGATACTGACACGACTCGAGCGTGTTTCCTAGTCGCCCCGCCTCATCTGCGGTTTTGGCTACTGAACTTTCGAGGCGGCGCTGGAAAAGAAGGAAGGCGAAAGGAGAAACGAATTCGACATCAAGACTCTGTACATACTTTTCGACTGTGTGTATAATGACGCTATTACCGCGACGACAAAACGATTAATTGACGAGACATAAATAAGTAAAGTAAGCGAGAAGGAAAACAATAAAATGTGACCGTATTATTGAAACAGACGAGAAGATGAACGACTGCTCAATTCATTTTCAGATCTTCGAAATTCCAGATAGAGGATAATGCGGACTAGAGACGAATCGTAGATGCCCCGAATCAAAGTAGTTCAATACTATACGCGGGAGTCTACTTCGCGGGTCACGCCATGAAACACCCCAAACGTGAAAACAGGGATAAAAAACACATTGCTGGATCCAAGCTTTTTTTGAAAATTCATCCGAGGGAGGAATACAAAAATCCTGCTTCTAATGAAGACGAATTGATAATCCAAGCTCAGGAGCTCGCCAAGACACGATTGCGTCTCATCATTTTTAAGCACGGTCGTCATCGTTGTTGTTTCTGTTTCGCTTCCTCACAGGCTGACGGCGATCATCATCATCGTTGAAGGCGATTCCTCTCCCGGACTTCATGGGTGGAGTTTGTTCCTCCGGCTCCTCCTATTCGAAGGATTTTTCGAGCCCAGCTCCCGCTCAATCGATCCTCGCCAGCTTCCCCTCTACAGGTGGCGCCGCCTGGTGTTCCGCCTTGGTATCGCGGATTCCAAAGGCAAGGTTCGGCGCCAACCTCAAATATGGAACTTGTAAACAAAGAAGAAACTAGATTTGCACGCAGCGGTACTTCGCTCGGGGATCGAATCGGACTCTCTATTGACGCTTCATAGCTGCTCGTTTCCGATCCCATCACTGAGCGATAGGATGCTGATTGGAAGATAGAAGCGTAACGAATGCGTTGATCGGACCACCCTTAGCTGTCCCCGAAACCGAGAGTCTCATTGCGAGTGATCGAGCAAGATCTCACCCCGCATCACGACTCCTCGACTTTGCTTTTAGGTCGGCCGGATAAACTTAATCAGTCCTCCAGCACTCGACTAGAACGGAAAGAATAGCGCTGCGCGTTCGGAAAGAATGAAGATTTTTATTTCCACTCCTTCTATTTTATCTTATCTTATCTGCGGAGACAAAAAAGCAAATCAGTCTCTGCGATTCGGAATTCCGCGCCTTCGGCCTTCCAGGCCTCATGCGGCGGCTCTGAAGGAGAAGAGAAAGTGGAGTCCGCCCTGCGAGCAAGACTCCTCAGCCGGCTTCGACTCCCCATTCATCAGCGTAAAACTACGCTTCGAACGAAGAGGACTAGTCCCCGAATTTCCGTGGCCAGATTACACACCATTCCGAACGATTTCCTCTCGTTCGGGGAAGAATGGGAAGAGACCTTCGGGGAGCACCATTCTCTATCGAGTTGTTGTATCGTGAAGATCGGGGATGGACGCGATTTTCGCATTCTGCCCGCCTCCTCCTCAAGCAGAATTTTCCCGGACTCAAAGGGCCGCTCGAAGCAGAACGCTCCGATGAATCGCCCGTCGGTCATGAACCAACGTACACCTGCCCACTTTCACATCCACTATCAATTCGATCGTCGGCCGGAGTACATTTCAATTCGGATCCTCTGTCCCTATGAACTGTCCGTCTGGCGGTCCGAAGAGCACTCCGCTCCGCTGGTCTCCATAGATGGCTTGGTATTCGCAGTCGGAAGCTTATTCAGTCGACTCGCGAGACACAAATCTGTGCGACGCTCTGATGAGTCGATCGAAGCGCACGCCACCGTATAGGCACGATTGTCGCTGCCATTCATTCCACATAGAGTTTCGTTCAGATATCCAGCTTGGTTTCAATGGCATAATCGCTTTGTTCGATCGGATCCACTTGCCCGACCTAGAAACAGTCAAAATAGTCGTCAATGTCGATCCTCGTTGAGAAGAGAAAGCAGAGACGACTCCCGAAATGTATTGGTTTTCGAGGAGGATCGGCACGGGACAAAGTCCCGTAGGACACGAAGCTCATCCGCCAGTCCGGAGGAGGCTCGAGAAGGAGGAGTAGGATGAGCTCGACGACCCGGGCACTCCGCTATCCGACAAACCGCGAATCATCGTGTAATGAAGTATAAAATATGTCACCCTTGAGGGCAGGCGAGCGATTCGACAGACCGACCGACCGACGAATAAGTAACCGCAACAAGCACAGGAAGAGCCATGTGTTCTTTTCGTTCAGCACCTCTGCTCCGAGAAGAGGGCCGGCTAGGTGAGAGTCATCTTCTACCGGCGGTGTCATCCTCGTGAGCTCTCTTAGGTAGGTACTTCGCAGGCCATGGACAGACAATGACACGCTGATCACCTCAAGCGTCTCCACAATGGGACGAACAAGCGAGACCGGGAGAGAGAGAGAGTCGCGACGAAAAGTGTAGAGCGGTGAAGCTGGGAGTCAGTCAACTGGCAGGTATCCCGGACTCTGTGATGAGCTGATGTCGCTGCTGGTAGGAGTGAATCCGCAAATGACTCTTAAGTACCAGCGGGCGGTGAAGTGACTGGGTGCGAGCGAGGGAACGAGCTGTGGAGCCATGAAGTTTTGGCAGCTCACCTCCTCTGACTGACTCCATGAGCATCACCATCAACAACCTTCATCCAGCTCTACTATCGCCACCGATACTACCCCCACCGTTACTGACGAGGACTCTGAAAACAAGCGAGAGAGGGAGGCTCGCTCGGTGAGAGCGATCGGGGGAGCTTGGGGCCGGACAGCGATAACTTGATGAGCTCGATTCACTACAAAGTCCACAATATAATCAGCCCACTCACCCTTCACCTCCCGTTCCCTCCATCGCGCTACGAGGATTCTTGCGAAAGCTTCCGAAAATCGAGGAAATTCTCCATTCGGTTTCACACCGACCGGATCGCGCATCTACCTCTGGAGGACCCCAGACGACGCG